TATCCGGGATGATGGCTGAAGCAGGATCTTCAGAGCGTAGGCCTGCAGCGGTTGGCGTGAAGGTCGCCTCGGGCGTACGGGTGGGCTGGCGGCCTTGGGTGGTGGTACCGTACCTGGAGGGAGAAGATTGACTTGGCAGGGGGGGGTGGAGGTAGAAGGTAGGGCAGGTGTTACAGAATGTGACTCTTTAGCCCGTTTGCTAAACTCCTTTTCTAGGGCCTTATGGCGCCGTAATGCATCTCTTTGAGAGGTACTGGAAGAGTCCTTGTCCCTTTTGCGAAGATAGTGTGTCTTAGATTTGGCCTTCAGAGAAGAGCCAGTAGGATTGGCCTCTGCCATGGTATCAAACAAAAGGATTGGCAACAAGGAATGGCGGTTGGCACGCCTAGGAGTTCGGCCTACTACGCAAGCCGGTTTTCCTAAGGTTGGGTCATGTCCCCCTTTTTGAAAAAAAAAAAAAATTTATTCTCTTAATTCTAACCTATCTATCTAACTATTTATTTATTTATTTATTTATTTTATTATTTCTTTTCTTCTTCTTTTTTTGAACTCTATATAATAAAAGAAGAAAAAAATCTATCTAAAGCTATTATTTATATACAAAAATTATTTATTATTTTTGTGGGCCGGGCCCAAAGGAAAGGAAAGCCAATCAGACCCAAGGAAATACCAGTAAAAACCAACTACCTCAAACCTAAATTCCAAATGAACCAAATGAACGCTGAGGCCAATAAACTATGTATAAACAGGACAAAGGGGCCTCCTTAGGCAGCCCCCCAACAACAATGGGGAGTACGTACCTGCGCCTCTGAGCGAGCTGCGGGCAAGGAAAGAAAAGCCAACGATGTCTAACCAAGAGAGACAACAGGGCACGGAGCCACAGTGCCCTCCAGGTAGAAAAAGGGGTCCATGCGGCCTGACGGTCCCGCTAAGGGCCTACTAAGGCCTCGCAACTCATGAATTAAGGTAAAATAAAAAAAATTATTTTTTAAAATGAACCAAAATGGCGCCGGCCACGAGGCGCGCCCAAAATGGCCGCCCGGCTCGAAGCGCACAGCTCAGAGACGCACCAGCCCGAATCGCAACTTCAAAAAAGCAAGAAATACAAATAAAGGGCTGGGAGAGGAAACGTTGCTTCCACTAAGGCGTTCTGGGGGGAAGACGCAACTACGCACTAAAAATAGTGCGGGGCCAAGCGGCTGAGCACAGCACGCTTGGAACGGCAGAGGAAGAAGGAGGAGGGGGGGCAAAAGGGCTCCGACCCCTTATCTCCCTCCTGAGAGCAAAATCGCTCTTTAACTAAATTTAGGACCACACTCAAAGCGCAGGGACAAGGAAAGAAACGGAGCAAAACAAACCTGAACACAGCGAAATGCAAAACCTGAAACGGCCAAGGAACAGTAGAAAAGCTGCCTGTCTTTCTCGAAGGCTGAGCTAAAACTGGGGGAACGCATGGAGGAGTCACGTGGAGGAGGAGGAGCGTTCCTCAATTATAGCTCAGCCTGTGAGAAGTGAAGACTGGAGCACCTCCCACTCTCTGGATGCTCGCAGCAGTTCTACAGAGAATTAACCAGTTACTGAAGAACTTTAAAATGGAACTTTGTAAACTGGCTAAGATGCCAATGAGCCAGGAGTTTAGCCACAGTGATGTGCAAAGTCCTGTTTTTGATAAAGACATTTATCAATCATTGATTGGTAGCTTATCCTATCTTAGTAATTGGTCTAGGCCAGACATAGCATATAGTGTCAACCAATTAGCCATGTTTAATGCTGAGCCTACTGAAAGGCACTGGCAAGCTGCTAAGCGTGTGTTGAGATATCTTAAACAAACGATGCATTATGCATTATATTTGGAGCCTAAGGATGAACTAAGTTTAACTGCATATGCCGATGCAAGTTTCGCTATAGACGTACCTACATGTAAATCAACGTCAGGTACTGTAGTGTTATTAGGAAAGATGTTAATTGGATTGTCTATTTGACAAAAACATCTAAGCTTATCAACAATGGAGGCTGAATTCTCATGTTTGTCTCTATTATGTACAGACTTAGCATGTTATAAACAACTAATGATAGACATGGCAATTCATGTAAAGGAACCTATTGTTGTATATAAAGAAAACCAATCAGCAATTCAGATGGCTTCCAATCTCGCTGTAAAGACAAGATCAAAACACACCGATCTACGATATCTAAATGTAAGACAATGTGTTCAAAGTAAAATGATTAAACTGGAGTACTGCATGTTAGAGAATAACATTGCAGATCATTTTACGAAAGCTCAAGGCACTGTAAAACATAAGGCTTGCTGTGAAGAATATAGACTTAAACTGTAAGGTTTTATATATTGTCCTACCCAAAGAGGAGAATGTTAGGAATGATAGTCACCTAACAGTTGACTTGGCAATATATAAACCAGGATAGTTATTTAATACTGTTGTATCTTCAAGAGAGTGCTGTAATTGTGATTGGCTGAGGTTCCTCTGACAGCCATAAGATGGAGCCAGAAACCTGGTTTGTTCTCTTCTTGCATTTCCTTTTTGCCTTCTGCCTGATCGTCATTCTGCTTGGATTGCTGTGAGTCTTGCAACTGTTAGCAAACTCCATTTACTGAACTTTGTTTATGATACTGGACTTCGTTTTTGGATTATCCCTGGACTGATTGTATTGAATACTACCTGCTTTAACCATGTATGATTTAGACTGTTGGTTGGATTTTGTTTACCCGTTTACTGGAAGTAAAACCTACATTTTACTATTCAGTGTATCTGTATGCTGGTTGTGTGTTATTCCTCACCACTCTCACTATGTTTCCCTGAGTGCACTCATTCTCCTAACGGGCAATACCTCAACAAGCACCTTGCACTCAGAAGCAAATTAGCAGCTAATTCAACTCCTGTGAGAGAAGATAACATATGTGCAAATCTAGGCTTGCACATAAATATGCAGGTCGCTATATGTTGAACCAACTGATGCTTCTGGATACTTTCCAAAGGCAGCCCTTTGTAGAACATGTTGCAATAGTTAAGGCAGGAGGTGAATAGATATGGGTAACAACCAAAACCCACCTGGCTAGGACTACCACCTGCGTTTCAAGTAGAAGTTAAATACACATCAGGTCTGGCTGGATAGAGCAATTCTATCTAAGACCAAGATGGCCAAGATGGATAGAGCAATTCTATCCCAGACCAAGTTCTTGGACCAATGAACCTCAAACCCAGAGCCTTTCCATCATGCCAGGGTTCAGTTTTAGGCCATTGCTCCCTATTCAGCCCTTAACAGCTTCTGGACATTCCAAGAGGGAAGTCACAGCATCACTTAACTCATGACGGGCTCAGACATATTGTATACCTATGTGCCATCAGCATAATGATAATATCACAGCCCAGGATGGTAGATAATCTCACCCAACAACTTCTTGTAGTTATTGTTAAACAGAGATGGACATAGTACTGAGCTCAATGGAACCTTGCAAAGCAGGGAATGAAACCTGAACCTCTTGTTTCCTATCAAGACCAACTGAGAACCACCACCAAGGAAATAATTGAACCAAAAACAGCCCACAGCCACACATACCCAACCCCTAAAGCTGCTGCAGAATGATAACATGGTGGATGAAATCAAATGCCACTGAGAGGTCAAGTAGAGAGAGGATGGATGCATTGCCCCATCTCATCCCCACTAGAGTTCATAAAAAATGTAATCAATGCCATTTCAGTCCCATATCTAGACATGCATCCTGACTGGATAATCCATTTTATCCAATAACCTTTGGAGATGCAACACAACCATCTTCTCAACAATCTTCACCAGAAAGGGAAGTTGGAGATAGGATAAAAATTATCCAATAGAGTAGACCAGGAGTGTCAAACTCGATTTCATTGAGGGCCGCATCAGGATTGTGTTTGATCTCAGGGGCCTGTGATGGGCATGGTCAGGTGGGTGTGGCCAGCTCAATGTCACTCATGTTGGGGGCGCTTGTAGCAGCCCAAGCGCTCTGCCAGTAAAAATGGACTCCCAGCTCCATTTTCGGCTGCGACAGCCTTCTGCAACCCTCTGCCTGTGGCCCTCCCGAGCTCCATTTTCACTGGAAAAAGCACCATGGGGCAGTCCTTCACTGTTTCCAAGGGGGGCCCATGGGCCAGATCTAAGCACCCCCAGGTGGGATTGGCCCAGGGGCTTTTAGTTTGACACCTCTGGAGTAGACTATAGATATAGTCTCTTAAAAAGGCTAGGTCACCACCCCACTTCTCACAGAGAAGAATTAATCACCATCAGAACCAACTCGCATTTAACTTCCCAGGAAGCTTTTACACATCAGGAAGAGCCTGGATCGAAAACAACTATTACACAGGTGCTTGCACTCATATTCCACAGGTCCATTTCCTCAAGAGCCACAAGGTCAAACTGTTCCCAGATAACTGGGCAAGAACTTGAGTTGAGCAGATTGGTTTTGCAACACACTAATCTCTAATACATCATATTAAAAATATCTGCCACTGTAAAAACTCCTGTTTCAGCTTAATGTTTTCAAAAAATATTAGCCTTCCAATACTCAAAACAGATTTATACAGGTAACCCTTTACCATAACAGATTCTGTCCATTATAGTTGTAAGTTGTGAGAATCATAAAGTGGGTCATCCTGTGACTGACCGACCCAATTTTATGACCGTTTTTTGCAGTGGTCATTAAGCAAATCACCATGGTAGCTTTGTGAGTGTGGTTGTAAAATGAAGTCATTAAATAAACCCATTGTTTGCTATGGGGCACTTTGCTGAAAACTGGAATAATATGCATATCATTCTATATCAAAACAGTTTGATCATTTGATTTTCTGCAAAATATATGAACTACATTACATCGAAATATCATCAATTTTGTGCAAGTCACTGTAAGATTATAATAAAACTGTTCTTAAAGCTTGTATTAAATCAAGTGATGTTATAAAAGCATTCTACCAACTCTAATTATAGATGGATAAACATAATTATTTCCTTACCCAAATTCTCCCTGGAAACCTTCCAACTCATCCTTTTGCTCAGCTAGAGTAGATTCTAAATCCAAGTAGGTACCATTGTGAGACAACTGCAGTGCACAATCATCAAGCTGAAAAAGAATTTAACAATTTAGAAATCATTGTTGCAATGACACTTCTATCCAGCAAACCAACTTACATTAACACAGCAGCTAGGAAAAATGAAACTGTTACATTTTTTACTTGGCACTCTACGCTATCTACCCCCTCAGCAAATAATTTTAAAAATATTAAATTAGAAAGATTAGGGTAATTATAATTCCTACTATAGGACTAATTGTTTAATTGCGATTTAAGATACTTTTAAATATTTTTAAAGCAACACTTATTCATACAAATAAAATATTCTAACATGTGTATTAACATAATGATCTCAAACATTTATGAAGCTTTCTTAAATGAAAAATACAAAGAAATAGAGGAAAAGAATAGGGATCTTTCAAGAAAATTGGAAATATCAAGTTTTAGATGGACATGACAAAGCACAAAAATGATAGGGACCTAACAGAAGCAGAAGAGATTAAGAAGAGATAGCAAGAATACATAGAAGAACTATACAAGAAAGATCTTAATGTCCCTGATAACCACAATGGTGTGATCACTGATCTCGAGCCAAACATCCTGGAGTATAAAGTCAAGTGGGCCTTAAGAAATATTACCAACAGCAAAGTTAGAGGTGATGATATTCTAGCTGAGCTACTGAGAAACCTATCTATATGTGAGTCAAAAGGCAATAGTTGGAACTGAACATGGAACAACTGATTAGTTCAAAATAGGCAAAGGAACACAAGGCTATGCATTGTTACCCTGCTTATTTAACTTGCATGCAGAGTACATGTTGGACTGACTCACAAGCCAGGAGTAAGATTGCCAAGAGAAATATAAAAAACTTCAGATATGCAGACAATACTAGTCTAATGGCAAAAAGTGTAGAGGAGCTAAAGAGACTCTTGATAAGGGTAAAAGCGGAGAATGCAAGAAGATGGTTTGAAACTCAACATTTAAAAAATTAAGATTATAGCATCCAGTCCCTTTATTTCAAACAGAAAGGGAGAAAATGGAAGCAGAGACAGTTTTTATTTTATCTGGAGTGGGGATGGGGCTCTAAGATAATTGCAGATGGTGACTGCAGCTATGAAAGAGGCTTGCTCCTTGGGAGGAAAGCTACGGGAAACCAAAACAGCAAAAAGGACCTTGACAACAAAGGTCTGTATAATCAAAGCTATGGTTTTCCTAGTAGTAATGTATGGCTGTGAGTTGGACCCTAAGGAAGGCTGAATATTTGATGCTTTTCAATTGTGGTGCTGGAGAAGACTGTTAAGAATCCTTTGAGAATCCGATCTTACTACTGCCAGACCAAAACAGTCAATCCTAAAAGAAATCAGCCCTGACTGTTCTTTGGAAGGACAAATACTGAAGCTGAAATATTTTGGCCATCTAATGATAAGAGGGGACTCATTGGAAAAGACCCTGATGTTGGGAAAGACTGAAGGCAAAAGGAGAAAGGATAGATGAGATGGTTAGATAGTGTCAATGACGCAATGAACATGAATTCCAGAAGACAGAGGAACCTGGTGCGCTGTGATCCATGGGGTGACGAAGAATCATACACAACTTAGAGATTGAATATTTCCATTACTAAGCAAGACAGTTGTTAATTACATTTTTCCCCATTTTACAATCTTTGCTGCCACAATTGTTAAATGAATCACTGCAGTTGTTGTTCTGACCTACGCTTCCTCAGAAAGCACTAAGCAGACTTTTTGTCTCGGCAAAACCCCTTTTATTAAACAAAGATGAATTTATTGCATTCACATTCACCCAAAGGTCTGGCAAACAGTCTTTCAAGGGTGTAATTCGGAGCACAGACCTTATCTAGCCTGGAGAGCTGCCAAGTGAATATTTTCAAAGGCAGTGCTGACAAGGAAGGACTCTGCACAGAGTCTCTGAGATGCACAGACAGATCTTCACACTGTTGCAACGAACAAATTGTTTCCTGCAAAAGCCTTTGCTCCTCTTTTAATCCCTATGGGAGGGGCTATTGACTATTCATCTGTGGCCTTACTCCCACATCAACCCTTAGTTCATAATTGTTCTTTTCTTTTGGAAGATCTGCACATGCGCAGGCTGGGAACTGACTCCAGCAGATCCCCCACCTCACTACTGTTCGACTCTGAAGGCAGCTGATAACTGCCAGACTGCTCTGGCCCCATTTCTGCCTCTGATGCAGAGCCTTCCTCCAAGCCTTCCTCAGCCTCCAGGACTGGCTCATATTCCTCCCCAACCTCCTCACTGTCCGACTATGCTGCCAGCTTTGCTAGCCATCAGAGGGCCACAACAGTTGTTAAGTTAGTAACAGTTAAGTGAACCTGGCTTCACCATTGACTTTAATTGTCAGAAGTTCATAAAAGTGATCATATGATCTTAGGACACTGTAACCCTAATAAATATGAGCTAGTTGCCAAGCCTCCCAATTTTGAACACAACCATGTGGATGATGCAACAGTTGTATAAAAATTGGTCCTAAGTCACTTTTTTTAGTGTCATTTTAACTAAACGAATGGTTTTTAAGTCCAGGACTACCTGTGTTAATATGAGGCCAGCTGGCTGCATACAGCCTCCAAACTGTTGTAGGTAGCCCCCATTAACAAATTACAAAGAGAAAACTCTTAAATACAGTACTTGTATTTAGTGAAATAGTGCCTCTGAATCAGGTTTGATTCCTGGTGATTTCACAGCCACTGTATGTGCAGTTTCTGTACAGCATTGTACAGAAGTGACTCACCAGTGCTTTCTTCTGAAAAGATTTTGACTTTGAAGTCTAGCATGTGGCCTTGGAATTCAACTGACTCTCCTAACCAAATACTAACAAGGCCAATCCTACTTAGTTTTCAAACCCACATAACATCCACTACTGACACCATTGCATTTAATTACATGTACTCATTTGGGTCCGAACGCCTCCCCTTTTATGATATCTAGTATACAATTGAAAGATGAAACATGGCCCCTGTCCTGAAAAAAAGTATATACCTCACTGTTTTAGCTATTAGTTGGGTCTTCCCATAATATGAAGTCATAATTCAGACAAAGAAAGGCTCTTATTTATTTAAGGATCTCATGTGGAATTTGTCAATTTATAAATAGTTTGGGCCTTATTAAGCTATAAGATAATTTTACATAACTGAAAAAGAAGTCAGTCTCCTAATTTTAAGGAATGGATCTTGAAGACTTAGTTTGTTTTTCTACTTTTGTAAAGTCTCTATGGTCTAAAAATAAGATGATGACATAGGTTGTTGTATCATCGAGATTTAATTATCAGTTTAACAACTAAATTAATTGCATATAGATATTGGTACTCATTGTATGGATCTTTTTCCCCTTCTTGTTGTGTTTAGTTTATTTAACTAATACAAGGCACTTAGGTATTTTATTACTACTTAAGGTAAACATTTTTTCCATTCTAACACTTTAACAAGACTTTTTTCTGAAGTGTTTTAAAAGCAGTAATTCAATGAAGGAGAAACTCAGTTCACCAAAATGTGTTGATTTACTGCCACAGTTCAGATGTTTTATAGATTTTATAGCTATAAATGGCAAAACAAATAATTAATAATCAAAATATTACATTAACTAATTAAATTTAATATTGATACCAATGACTACATTGAAAATGCTCATGTCAGTGAAAGCCAGATTTTTACTAGCTTCTGCAAGGCCATTGATGTCCAACTGTATTGTTACCAGGGCCCCAAATCCCTTTTGGGGAAAATGCAAAATACCTCTACACTAGAAAGGTTTCTTAACTTTAGAACATTCTCTCAAACATGTTTTTAAATTTGATATTTGAATCTCTTTTGTAATTTTAATTGGCCAAAGCAATTTAAACATCAGTGTTGCTCCTGGTTTGTGTATAGTTTCTATCTTTTTGTTTACCTTTGTTGGCTTAAATTGCTATTTAACTGTATTAAATATAATCAGATTCCATGCTGGTAGAATTAATATATTCATGCTTTTGTGTACCATCTTAGAATTGATTCAAATGAAGGATATAGCTATAGATATGGCTATGGGAACTTAAAAGCAAATGCTGTAGTGCTATACACAAATATCCTGTATGTCAGATTTCAAGGAGATTGGGTAATAATATTCGTCTAAAACTGTGAATAGAATTGGGAATTTCTGTGAACAGAAATGTGGATCACACCATGAATATAAGAATTCATAAGAAGCAACCTAGCCTGCTACACTTCTATCAATGCTCCCAAATACACAAGGCCAACACATCTCATTTGATGCCCAGTTTGTTTGTTACCAGGGGTCCCAACAAGCAAACATAGCCAGAGAACATACAAAAAAACTTAGAATATTTGCTCCTCTCTGAGATGTTTCCATCAACTCCCCACTACAGTGCCTTCAAAGAAGCAATGACCTAAGAATAGAAGCTGAAATTATGGTTTCATGTCCCAGCACTTTTTACATTCATAGATCTAGAATGAGCTAAAGTATCTCTGGCAGAAGTATTACTCAACATACCTGATCTAACCAAATACACCAGAAAAGAGTAAGCCTTGCTACATGAAATGTGACACGATAGCAGTGTTCCAATGTTTGAGGGGCTGCCACGAAGAAGAGGGGCTCAACCTATTTTCCAAAGCACCAGAATGCAAGACAAGAAACAATGAATGGAAATCGATCAAGGAGAGAAGCAACCTAGAACTAAAGAGAAAATTCCTAACAGTGAGAATAATTAACCAGTGGGATGGCTTGCCTTCAGAAGTTGTGAGTGCTCCCATCACTGGAGGCTTTTAAGAAGAGACTGGACAGCCACTTGTCTGGAATAGTATAAGATTTCCTGCTTAATTGGGCATTTAATTGCTTCCTGAACACTATCTTATAAACTTTTGCTGCTTATCATGAAAATAACTTGTAATTTAATCTATCTGTATTCTTTTAAACAAATATTTTGTTTTTGCAATTTCAAAGTTTCAACACCTGTCTATGCTGCACACTTGAAAAAACCAGATGAAAACATGGAACTGTTGTTGAAGAACATCCAGTACACCAAGTA